AGCCTTAAATTGGGGCGAGTGGTAGTACCACCACCGCCACCCCACTTTTTATAAAATTGTTCAATCATCCAGAAACTGGGAAATGTGGGAGTGCCCTAATTATTGAGCTATGGAATCATTCTCCCTCTTGAGCAGTAGCAACTGTGAGCAATGCTTGATATTACATGGTATGTATAATTATATTCTTAGTACTACTATTGGTATGACATGAAATTATTCATTTATTAGATTTATATGCAGCCCTTCCCAAAAAACTCACAGTGACTTATACGGGAAAAGGAAAAAAAACTTAAAAAAAGCAGGTAAAATATTATAAATAATAACATAATAATGAAAACTGTACTATCAAATTTCAAAATGGAATTTCATTTTGAAGTAACATTTTAAAAATGTTCCTTAGTGAAATTTTTAGTACAAACTTTTAATTTATTTTAGTTCCAGTTTGGAATGTAAAGAGATTTCAAAATGTCTAAATTCATTTAAAAAAGAAATTCCAATTTTGATTGGCTCAGGTGGATTGACACCTCTTTTTAATGTTGTTTTTTTCCTTCCTATTTATCTTGTCCTTTGTTAGTCTTGTGATATCTGTTTCAGACTTGGTATCAGTTCAAATGGGCTTATAGTTCTAAAAAGCTCCTTTTTAAAAGTGGATCACTTTCTGTTGTAGGATCTGCAGCTGATCTTTGTAAAATGGCCATGGTTGAGATTTTTACTTCTGTTGCCATGTCTCCAACTTTAACAGCCAGGTTAGTACAAGAATGACTGCAATTCTCTGTTTAATTGTAGATAAAAGTAGTTGAGATGGAGGTCATTTAGATACATTTTTTTCCTTTATTTTTGTTCCATTTAATAAATCTGTTGTGCCTATACTTTACTGATACTTTTTCTGCTGTGTGATTCCATGCAGTTGAAGGAATATTTCATATGCATCTGTTTCTCTTAACAAGTAAGGACCAGTGCTATGACTCAAGAAGACGTTTTTATTACCTCATGCTCCAGTAGGTGTTTGGATAAATCCATCCAGATATATTGGGCCTGGTTCTAAAATGTGATGAGCACCTACAGCTCCATTTGAATTTAGGTCAATGGATATTCGGCACCTTTGAAAATCAAGTCTATTGCACAATGCGGTTTTAACTTCCACGGAAGGGAGGGATTCTGGTCCGAAGCTACCTCACTGCTGTTCATCTACTTCACCCAATAAATATTAAATGCAAAGTGTACAGAAGCTTTTGGAAGAAGCAAGCTGAAATCCCCTCTTTTACCATTGCATGTTTGAAGTGTTTTTTCTGTGGTTAAAGCCTTAGGATTCACATGGCATCATGCTGTGTCCAGGCTATTCCATTCTACCCAAAATGAATGCAGTCAGACTGGAGCCTACTGAGCATGCAGAGGGCAAACTTAAGTATTCATGAGCAAATAAAATCCAGACTGTGAATAAATGCCAAAAATTGCATTTGCATGGTTATGTAAGTGCAGGTAGGTGTGTAAAGACAAAATTACATTTAGTCCAATGTCTTTAATGGAACCCACTTCCATGCAGGAATGAACTGAAAGCGCAAATCCCTCTCTGACCTTAATATTGCCCCTATATTAGGATGAGGCAGACCATAGGGTTTGAACAAGCAGAAACCATCTTGGCTTAGGTGACCAACACCAGGGATAGCCTCTACTGGGTATCTGTGCCGCTCATGCAGCTCAGCCACAAAGGGATGATGCACCAGTTTGAGAAGTCGGGCTAATCATTTTATATTTAACAAGAAATAGTAAGATTTCCTGAAAGATAAAAAGCAAAGATAAAAATATGGGGTGAATTAAAAATATGGAGCACAGAAACTGCATTAATAGACATTTATTTACACACAATAGCCCTGTGTTATTTAATTAGTGTAAACTAATATGCAAGCGATAACACCCAAATTATTTCAATATTACGGATATTGTAATATATGGGTAGGGGTAGAGTTCAAAGCATAAAACAAAAGGACTGCATTAACAAAACATACAAAATATAAAGCCTCCTGCTATGACTAACCTCTTTCCAATTCTTGGATGAAAGACTAGTGACCCATTAAAAAAAAAAAAAGAAATAATTTGATCTAAATCTGGAATGGGAAATGGACATTTGGCAGGACATTCTGTATGTAGCCAGGGAACAATATCTCTCTGTTTTAAGTACTGTGTGATGTACTGTTATCTATTACATTACCTTTGGGTCAGGTTCTTCGCCCCTTTTTGCTGTTGCCTGAGCTCCACAGTCTGGTTATAAATTCTTTCCATGGGCATAATGGTAGAGTCTGGATCCTAGGACAGATGCCCAACACCAAGCAGCTAGGGGCAGGGAGGAAGAGGACAAGAGAACATCTCTGCTGCGCTAGTTTTCATCTGTGAAATAAGCCTCTAGGTAGTTAGAGGGAGCAGGGCACAAGCACAGGTTCTAACTTAGAAGAGGGACTGGAATGGTGCCCCCATGGGAGTCTGCCATGGCAGGAGCAGCCCCACACTGTGTGGCTGTAGGAGTAGCAGCTGCTGGGAGAATGCAGAGAGCTGGGGTCGTGCCAGGTAACACACTACCCCCTTGGCTTCCTGCAGTCATTATCTGCCTTTAGGGGCCATAACCACCTGGTGTAAGGTAGAGAGAGCCCTAGTCCTAGCCTTTGCCAACTTACGCTACAACTGAAGGAGCTGTGACTTGGAACAGAAACATCTCTGTGCAGAGCACAGTATCAGACAGTTTTGCCTTGCATGCTTTCACAGAGCTGCCTTTTTTAAAGAGATGGTGTTACCAAATAGCTGGTAAGGCACAATAAATGAGGAGAAACTATTAGGTGTTGAAATTGCTTTACATTGCAAAAGTATACGGGGAAGTGCCACCCTGGACTTCATGAAAGTGTCACTGGCATTGTGTTCCAAGGTTTGTATTATTCATGTAGCAGGCGTAGCAATAGAGAAAGATCAAGACATTACTGGCAGTTGAGAGAAGCTGCTTGAAACGGGAAGTCTGAACTCCTGCCAATGATTAACAAGTGGATGGCTCAGCTAAAGGAGTTCCTCTTAACATGTACTAATGGCACATTCCTGTAATATTTAGTAAGCACTTAGGAGTCAGGTTTGTCACAGAAAACGCAACATCTCTCAAACTCTAATTAGCAGTCTTTGCAGGCTTCTGGATAGGTCATTGTGGGCTGCTGGAGAAGGAGACTAGACTGAGACCCAGAAAGGTGAGTACCTGCTCAGCCAGCAGTTTGCTGGGCCATTTTTATGCAAGTCATAGATTCATGGATTCATAGATTCATAGATGTTAGGGTCGGAAGGGACCTCAATAGATCATCGAGTCCGACCCCCTGCATAGGCAGGAAAGA